TGCAAGAAGTAATTCAACACTCCTTTTTACAGTTTGTGCAATATCTGCAGTTACTAAGGCTTTGCAAACATGAGTAATGTTTCAAGAAGAGGCTTACAGAAGACTATACCATTAATTGATATTAAAAAACAAACAAACATACAAATCAATTTGAGAGATAGTGGGAAGTGTGATGTATTAGCTCATTCAAGTTGATGAAAAGTAAAGAATTTTGATAGAAAAAGAACCAAACTGCCACTTAGGAGAAGTGCAAAACACAAATTGAAAGTAACCTGTGAACTCATTCTAGCAAAAGAAGAGTATTTTCTCTTCTTCTCAAAAATCATAGATGCTTCATAAAATGCTGGCTGATTGATTTTGAACCAAAGTTTCTTCTTCAGCCTAAGAAAGACGAAAAATCACCTCTCTCAATCAAGTCTACCTTGTGATCAAATATTTGTTGTGGTTTACATTGTAAAATTGCTTCTGGAATTATTCACTCTTTTTTTTTTTTTTTGCATCATCTGTAATTGAGTTTAAGGTTGTAACATGTATGATCCATAAGGACCAAAGAAACTAACTCATGAGTTAGTAATATTCCTTAAAACCTAACACAGGTTTTAAGGAATATGACAAAGAACACTGTAAAAAGGACAATTCAATTACCTCATTTAGAAATTCTGATGCTACATCATTTGCTATCAGTATTAGTAATATAAAGTTAGTGGAAATAGTTTCCACCAAGTCAACATAATAAGAAAGCTCAATGACTCTTACGGTTCAGGTTCTACGTTGACAACAGGCACATCTCTTCGTAGTAAAAATCTGTTTTCAGGCACTGGGGGAATTTCTTCAGGACGTACCACAGGTTTGTCCCTCTTTGTGCTAACATCCACTGCTTTTTCTGTTAGATCACTCTTGTCAGAAAGGCTGCTAGGGGGAAAAAAGAAGTCGATAAAGCAAAATTAACTGTCAACTGATAAAACATCACTTTTTTCAAAAGAAATTCCAAAATAAGCCCATATGATGCACTGAGCCTTAAAATGGCTTAACAACCAAAAGCTATTTCATTGAGCCAGCACTGTGCCCTCGTGGCCAGGAAGGCCAATGGCATCCTGGGGTGCATTAGAAGGGGTGTGGTTAGTAGGTCAAGAGAGGTTCTCCTCCCCCTCTACTCTGCCCTGGTGAGGCCACATCTGGAATATTGTGTCCAGTTCTGGGCCCCACAGTTCAGGAAGGACAGGGAACTGCTGCAGAGAGTCCAGCACAGAGCCACCGAGATGATGAAGGGAGTGGAGCATCTCCCTTATGAGGAAAGGCTGAGGGAGCTGGAGCTCCTTAGCTTGGAGAAGAGGAGACTGAGGGGAGACCTCATTAGTGTTTATAAATATGTAAAGGGTGAATGTCAGGAGGATGGAGCCAGGCTCTTCTCACTGATGCACCATGGTAGGACAAGGGGCAATGGGTGTGAGCTGGAACACAGGAGGTTCCGCTTAAACTTGAGAAGAAACTTCTTTCCAGTGAGGGTGACAGAGCCCTGGGACAGGCTGCCCAGGGAGGGTGTGGAGTCTCCTTCTCTGGAGACATTCAAAACCCACCTGGACGCCTTCCTGTGTGATCTCATTTAGGTTCCTGCTCTGGCAGGGGGATTGGACTAGATGATCATTTGAGGTCCCTTCCAATCCCTAATATTCTGTGATTCTGTGATTAACAACTCATTTTATGCTAAAGGAAGGATGGTGCACTGTTACTGGAAAGAAGGTTCAGTTCCTGCTTTACAGCAAATTACTTTTCTTTTAATATGCCATTTGTCATCAAATATTTTTGAAATATAATCCAATACATCTTGTTTGTCTAATGTCTCACTGTAACACAGGCAAAGCAAGTCCTAAATACTGTAACATGCTGAGGCTTCCTTCAAAGGCTTCAATCTACAAAGATCTGAAACTGATTAATAGAAAAAGCCATCCAAACTCAGCTTGTTTGTTTGTTTATAAAAATTAACCATCAAAATCCAAACTTACAGAATAAAAGCATCATCATATTCATTACTTGAGTACTTCATGAAGGAAAAATAAAAATAAAAAAGGAGAATTGTTCAGATTTCTCGAAAATTCTTAAACCTAAGAGACTAGTCACCTTCTTTGGTTTGAGATTTGCTTGCATCTTGGATCCTCTTTCTTCCTCTCTTCCTTTCTTTGTTTTCTTGATTGTTTGGTTTTAGCTCTTCTTTTACGTTTTCTTCTTCTGCTTCTTTCATTTTCAGCTTCACTTTCAGATGAAGTTTCTGAAGAGCTTGATGCACTGGAGGAGGAGTCTGAAGCTTCTGAGTCAGAACATACTTTCTTCTTCCTCTCCAAAGCTTAAAACAGATATTTTAAATTTACAGTGTGTAATAAATTTACAGTGTGTAATAAATTTACAGTGTGTAATAAATTTACAGTGTGTACATGTGCATGTGGGTGCAGTGTGTATATATACAGCACAAAATATACAGTTTTATGTATTTATAAATACGCACACATACTGCTTCAGAGGAACTCTGTGAACTTTTTTCAGTGACTTACATTAATGGGCAGTAATAAAAAGTCATATCATTGTGTCCAGTCTAAATACACACCAATATAATGATACAAATATTTGCCAGCAAAGATAGTTGTAAAAAAATTCCTTTGCTATCAAGTAAACTATAAGAACTTCCATCCATAACTTCTACCATATAAGACAACACATCACTGCAAAGCCAAAACATTTTTAAATTAATACACAGTAAGTTTATAATTGAAGTTGAACTTTAACTTGTGTCAAGCTAATATAAAGGAAAGCTGAGGAATAAGTACAATTTTAAGAAGGAAGGCTTCCCTTCTTTTCTCCTTTGAAAATCTATTTTAGATTATAACACTGAATTAACACCTTTGGGATAGAACAGAATACACAGATAAGCAAAGACCATTTATAGTAAAAATAAAATAAAATAAAATCTTTCTTTAGAAAGCAATGCACAGTTTATAAAACAAAGTTTAAGAAAGAGTAAGTCCCAGCCTCAGTTCTATGTCTTACTTCTAAAACTTTGTCATTCTCTCCTTTCTGCATCCTCATACTTTTATATTATCTATCCCCTTGACTTTCTCTAAAGGACACAAATAATCATGTTAACCTTAAGGAAAGTCCAAAAAAGTGGAAAACTCAAACTTATAACACTCCACTACTTCACAGCAACTGTCCAAACATATACTTTAGGTAATTTATTCCCTATGAATTCTCATGAAAAGGAAAATTATGTTAATTCCATATACTGCATATATTAATGTTACATGATCTTCAAATAAACCCTTGAAAACGGCACAAAATTCAACTTCAAGAAAAGCTTATGTTTGTGTCTCCATCTTTCCAACTCAGAAGAAGTCCTAATTACTTTCTGAGTACGTCACACTAACCTCAAACATTAATTAAGGAGAACAGGAATTAGGCATATGTTTTCCAGGGCACAAAGGTTTAGGTCAGAAAATCTTTTCCCTTGCTGTGCCTTCCTCACCTACATAGAATCACAGAATGGTTAGGATTGGAAGGAACCTTCAAGATCATCCAGTTCCAACCCCCCTGCCAGCAGCAGGGACACCTTCCACTAGACCAGGTTGCTCAAAGCCTCATCCAGCCTGGTCCTGAACACTTCCAGGGAGGACCAGCCACAGCTTCTCTGGGCAACCTGGAATACTCTCTCACCACCCTCACAGTGAAGAACTTCTTCCTAATATCTCATCTAAACCTCCCCTCTTTCAGCTTAAACCCATTTCCCCTTGTTTTGTCATTAACTGCCCTTATGAAAAGTCCCTCCCCAGCTTTCTTGTAGCCCCTTCAGGTACTGGGAGGTCACTATAAGATCTCCCCGGAGCCTTCTCTTCTCCAGGCTGAACAGCCCCAACTCTTTCAGCCTGTCCTCATAGGAGAGCTGCTCCAGCCCTCGGATCATCCTCATGGCCTCCTCTGGACTTGTTCTAGCTGCTCCAGGTCAAGTTTTAAAGGTTTGTAAGAATGAAGATTCTAGAGATTCACCATATTGATTTCTAAATGTTAGCATAATTTTCATAGTCTCTGAAAACAATGTCAACATTGAATTAACTTCATGTATACGTACTCTTACCATCTTTTGCTGATTTTGTAACAAGCACCCCACAGTCAATAACTCGTACATCTGCATAGGGCCTACTTGCAGTATCAGTTTTCAGATTTTCTATTTGTTCTATTACTTCAAAACCAGAAATAACCAGTCCAAAGACAACATGTACACTGTAGAAATAAAATATATGGAAAGTACAAACACACATATATTGATGTCATAATTACTATCTGATAAATTTCAGATTTAAAAAGTCATTCTGAAATAGGAACATTCAGCAGCACTGGCATAATATAGCTGTTAAAATGTATTAAAATTAAAAATAAGATTTTTTTAAATTGCTTTTACATTTACAACAATGCTAAGATTTCATGCAACATGAAACAGAGGTCCACTCCAGTTCAACTGGAGATAAATAACTGATGTCATTCTATCCTCTTCTACAGAGGCAAGGTAAACAGATCATCATTTCTAACCCATCCTTCTATTTTTGAAACTGTGCAACAGAGAGATGAAGGGCCCATATATAAAGATGACAAAGAAGTGGAGTTTCCCCCCATTTATAGGTCTATACAAACTCAGCACACAAATTCCCACTGGTGTTGCAGGGATAGTTATAATTAATGAATTGCCAATTTTGTTCTACCATAGCACATTTCTCTGTCCTTCTTCCATTTGCCCCATAACTTATATTTCCAGGAACTAATATATTTTGAGGATAAAAACATGCTACAAAAGAGAGCGCTCTGCAAATATATTAAACTTGACATTTCAACTCACTGATTTATGGACTGAGTGCAGTTTTAAACAAATGAATGTTAGGATTTAAGATCTGCCAAGTTTTTGACCAGCTTTAGGAAATAAGTTGCAACTTGAATTTTTTTATACAACTGAAACTTTTCTTTTCCATCTTGTTCTCTTGTATAATCTTTCATAGAATTAAGAATTTGTTTCCCCATTGTTGTCTACTTTCAATGTAACATGAAGACTTAGAACCTTCAAATTTTAGCCAGCATTTGAAAAACTAGAAAGGATTCTTACCCATCGAGATGAGGAGCAGGTTTTGTTGTTCTGTTTGACAAACAGCAAGATGGTAAGATGGTAAAAAAAAAAACAACAAAAAACAAAAAAAAGAAAAAAGAATCAGGGATTCAGATGAAGTAAAAGAGGAGAATGGCACAGGGAAAAGAAAAGGTGAAGGTAAGACAAAAAAATAGTGAAAAAATCCAGTTACATACATGGAATTAAAAAAAAACTTTTACAGATTATACACACAGGCTTTTTAAAATTTTTAAATGAAATTTGTTTGAAGTTTAGTTAACTGTGCATACTTGAAAGTTGTACCAAGTATCATTTTATGCATGCAATAAACAATCTTCAAGTAAGTGTCTTTAAATACACGTTCAAATATAGCTCACTAACATTCTGAATCACAGAAAAGATACAAATTGGCAATAAATACTGGGTAACTAATGGAATTTAAATGTTTCTGAAATTGTTAGGTTCTTACATTACACGGTCACTTTAAAATCAAGTTATTTTAAAAAAAAGAAGAGTTAACATATGTGATATTCTTTGCTTCCCCCCGCCCCTCGCTATTTTCTTACTCTTTATTTACCCAATTGGCCTCATGACTCGGAATACAAAGCAGTGCTTCTATCTTAAAACATCAAGACTTCAGCTCACAAGCTCACAGACTTCCCAAAAGCAGCAGCAGCACAATGTAAGCAGACACTATACACTGCCCTACAGTTTACTGCTGGGATAATTCCAGATTTACTCTCTATTTTTCAGCTTCTCCCATTTAGCTGTTTCTAGCCTGGATGAGAAATGCAACTGCCTTACATTTTGTACACTATCCTAAAAGGCATTTGGAGTTACATCAAATTTCTCGTTGCCTTGAAATTGGAATATTCAAGGCTGTGCATATGTATTTATATATATGACCTGGTGTCTTGTATCTCTCTATATCCTTTCCCAAAAAAGAAAGGAAATGGCTTCTACAAGTAAGCCTGCACAATGTTGTACAGGGAACCTTGCTGTGCAGACAAATTCACTTCAGGAACATCAGAACTTGTACTAATCTTATATATCGGGAAAGAAAAAAAAAAATCAGGACAATTTACTTTTTAAGCTATTTTGTATTTGAAAACATTTTTCCCTTCTCCTCCCCAGGCACTATTTTGCCTTTCTAGCTTTCTTCCAATGAACTCTCCTCTCTCAAATAAATAATCACAGATGCTTTTTCTAAATTTACAATAACACAGATGTGGTACAACAAAGTCAGTTTTTCACTGCTATAATAAAATAGTATTTTTTTTAAGCACCTATCTTCACTCAAGTTTTGAACTATTTGGTCACAAAACAGCACAGTGTTGGAGCACATGCCACAAAATGGAATTGTGATTCAGGAGTGTTTACACTCTTGGATTTTTCTCTTTTATTTTGACTTCAGTAATACTAAACAATACAGAAAACTTCTTTGGTGTAACACAGGGAATGAAATGTTATCAAGATTACATTTAATTTCTCAACAGTAAGGGATGTTCTTTGTTTTTTTCCCTTGCTAATACAGCATATTGCTACAAACAGAAAAATTCTTACAGCTTTTGAAGCTCTTTAAGCCAAAGTTAACTGCACGAAAAATCTGCTGTTAAATAAATAGTTTAAGTGGGCTTAATTATAAAACTGATTTAAAGTAGTTTAAAAAAATTAAAAATCAAAGTGGGCTCCTTCAATGAAACCAGTAATAAATTAGACTTAATGCTTAGAATTAGCTAGAAACAGCAACAGGTTCAAAGACACTTGAAGACCAATTGAGCAACCTACTCAAGTAGGTACTTTCTTTAGACTAGTTCTCAATAAGCAAATCAAGGGTTGGTTGGTACATTAAAACCCACGTGGAGGTTTCTTCCATTACACTGGCAATTTGATAGATAAAATGGATAGGATTTTTCCCTCATTTACTTGTTCATGAAGTGAAAACACAAAGAAAAGCATTATCCAAAAAGCAAACTTTCCAGATGCATGACAAGGAGTTAGGTGACTTAACAGACTTCCTATGGGAAGCAGGAAACCAAAAAACGTGCTTTGGAAAGTTTTCTCATCTCAGTGTTAGGGTTGTAACATGACATTTATTCTGCAAATGTGCCCTTTAAAAAAACCACTTCAAAGTTTTTTACCTATGTTTCCTACCTTGCAATCCTTGAACATTTGCTTTGGGTTTAAAAACTTAATCAGGAGAAAAACTACTTCCTGCCTTTGCACTACAGAAACCTACAGTCATGATGAGTTCCTCCCCCAAAATACTATTTTATTAAAACATTTCTCTACAGAACTTTTACAATTTAAAACATTACAAATTCTGCCTTATGATATATACTATTATCCAAGTTATTTACAGAAGGACATTTACCTTTCTTCACTCAAGTTTAAAGTAAATTGGTTTAAGATACTGCTGAAAAGAAAAGCGTCTTTTTTTGACAAAAGCATGTTATCACCCACCCCCCCAAAAAAAACCTCAATCCTAACAAAGGATTCAATGCACATAACAATATGATCAGAAAAACAAGATAAAAAACAGAGAGAAGAAAAGGAAAGGACACAGCCTTAGAGGAATGAGACATTACCTTTGGAGCGCACGATGTAACACTGTTTCTGTAAATTTTACACAAAAATGGCAGAAATAAATTGTAATACATTTTCAGACAAAACTGAGTCTATGTTTTTTATTAAATACAAGTTTAAAATTAATTATTAATCAAGTTGTATGCAGAACAAGGATGCCTAAAAGAGGGCTCTAAATTTTCTTTAGAATACAAGGTACTTTGAAAACTACAGTAACAAAAAAAGAAACCTAGAGACATAACCTGCTTGCACACATTGTTACAAAGATAAATGGTTAGAAAAGAGAATCCTCCCACTCCCCTCTAAGCCTCAATCCAACCACAGTGTTAGAACACATGCACAACTCTAAGCAGATGAATATCTGATTTCCAAGGGTCTATTCACACGCTTGCAGTCACACAGGTGTTCAAATACTCTGCTGAATCCTAATACTTCATAGAGTGACACAGCATAGCTTCAGCGTTTTGATTTACAAATGAAATGTGTTAAGTCAGTAAATCTACATTTCATAATTAGCTGACACCTTCCTTGTATTAAGAAGCTTTTCCAAAACGAAGAAAAATAGGTGTTTTCTCTACAAGATTGCTATTAGATTGCTTGTGTTCAGAATGACAGAAAAACAAACACACTGCAGATGCAAAAAAGACAAAACTTGCACCAACTAGTATCAAACTTTTGCTCTGGTATAATTCTGAACAGCAGCCATGTTTTCAAACTGCGTGATCAATTCAGCTCATCCACATTTTTCTTCCAAATAAATTATTAGTTCTTAATTATGTCTCTGAATATCCAAGTGTTGAAATGATCTGTTACTTATTACACATAAAAGCTTTCACACTGGCTGTGCTTTTACATATAAACTTGTGATCAAGCCAACGGGACCTGCTTGTGTGATAAATGCACATATACCACTTTTGCTCAAGGATAACTTTTGCTCAGCCCCTTTCATTTGAAATTTTTAGGTTTTTATATTCCTATCAGCTGTTCCAAAATTAGCTTAAAGGTATTTTACTCACAGTAAAAACAAAAAAAACCACCCCAAAACCCCCCTGTTGATTAGAAAAATACCTGGTTTGGGACATCAAAAAAGACTTAGAAATGAACCACTTCTAATAAGTTGGTAACATTCAGAAATCATTTGTAAAATCAAAACAAAAAAAAAGTCCTCACAATTTATTTTATCCCTCATTTAGCAGATCAAAGTGGTTAGTTTGTATTTAGTAACTAGGCATGGCACCACACATTAGAAACATTTTTAAAAGAGAAAAAAAAAAGCTATTTAGTTTTGAGCAAGAAAGCAAAGCTTGAGAGACACATTAAATCAACAATACCCTCAATACAGAAAATAAAATAAATCTAGCAGTAACAGCAAAACAGGCTCAAGTTTTAAACAGCTCTTGAACACAGGCAAGAACTCCGAGTGTTTGAACTGATAAGGAACACAGCCAAGGACTCCTCTTTAAATTGTAATAAGGACGTATTCCTCAGTAAACTACATGGCTAAATAACAAGGGAATAAATTAATTATTACACAAAACTTCCCAATGACAACAAAGAGGTGGGTTACTTTTTGGTTTTGCCTCCTATTGTTTTCTTTATGCCTCATTCTGCAAAGTCACTTCTATTTTACTAGTAAGTGTAGCTTGACAGATTTTTGGATGACAATGGAAGCAAAGTCAAGCCCATGAAAGCATTTATAGGATCAGGAGTCATTGATTTTATAGTATTTTACCTACTAATTTTCACGAGTTGCACTTATTTTGTATTGCAACTTTCCTTACTAGCAGGTTGGGTATGGCCACAGGCATGATGGAGTTGCTCTAAAGAAATAAGATAGAATTATCAGATCAGCTTGACTAAGAAGCAGAATAACTTGCTCAAGAAGAACATCACCCAACAAGTAATAGAGCCACTGAAGTGGAACATCCAAGAAGAGGCCAACTATCCCCTTCCAACTGTAAATCAGGGACCTAAAGACATGAGTTTTTATTTGTGCAATGCTCTAGATGCACTCCCTCAGTAAATAATAATAATATTTTCAGCAGCAGTTCAAAACAGATATTGGATAATATAGAAAAAGGAAGATGATTCTAGAGTGGTTCCTCTCAGTCTCTAGGCCATCCTAGCGATTCCACACCTGAATATCAACATGGAAACAGGACAATTAAAAGAAAACTAATACACTCAGGTGGTGTTTCGAACACTTCCTATATAATGATGGTTCTAAAAGAAGTTATTCACAGAAAGGAAACAATTTAATACTGGTGCTACCTGAATATACAAACACCTAATTTATAAATTGATACCTTACAACTGCCTTCAACACAAGGCTGCAATAAAATGCTACAACACATCCCTCGGGGTACAGAAAATTGAAATTCCTGTATTTCACAAATCTCTTCACAAAGGGATAGTCTCTGTATCCTTTCTGCTGGATTTCAACAAGATGAGGAAATGTTTCTTATACACATGTGTGAATAGACTTGGCCTATTTAAAGTGCGTGTGCATGAGAAACAATCCTGTCTCAGCTAAACATTCTCCTTTCAACTCAACTGTTACTCCTATTCAAGTAAGAAAAAAGATAGAAGTGAGGAAAATTAGTCAACAAACATTAAACAGCACTTCTGACATTCCAGATATACACTTCTGAATCTTTATTCTACTTCTGCATCTTGCCAGTTTCTACTGGTCCTTTAACTCATCTTCATTCCTTTTACGCTGGCCTCACTAGAGCTTCGTAACAATAGTGACACTGTCTTTTTTCCACGCTTAGTTCTCTGTTGTTGCTTAAAAATACTTCAAACTCATTCATGCCAGAGAAATTCCTGATGAATCAAAGAAAGGTGATGATATTTTAGGATTGGTCAGATGCTCGTTTAGATGAAGGTTAGTCTGGAGCTTCTGTTTCAAGTAAAACTGATCACTGTCACTCAATTTTTTGATGTTGGACAGAGGCAGGTTTGTTAGTGCAGTCTGGGAAAGAGAAATTCGCTGCCTAATTACTTCCTGTAAAAACCAGTTACTCCAAATAACATTTTTCTGTGGTAAGCAGGGAAAGCACTTCTGATGAGGAAGTAAAAAATGTTACAGTCAGGATTCTTGCTATTATTTTAGTGCCTGCTATTATTTTAGCGCTTCTATAAATACTTATATACTACTATAAATACTACTTATACTATTATAAATACTTACATAAAAGAAAATAACTTGTTTGCACTCCTTGTTTGCTACATTAATGACAAAACAAGGGGAAATGGGTTTAAACTGAAAGAGGGGAGGTTTAGATTAGATATTAGGAAGAAGTTCTTCACTGTGAGGGTGGTCAGACACTGGAACAGGTTGCCCAAGGAAGTTGTGGATGCCCCCTCCCTGGAAGTGTTGAAGGCCAGGTTGGATGAGGCTTTGAGCAACCTGGTCTAGTGGAAGGTGTCCCTGCTGCTGGCAGGGGGGTTGGGACTGGATGATCTTTAAGGTCCCTTCCAACCCAAACCATTCTGTGATTCTATGTATGATAGAGACAGACGATAGAGTTCTCATCCCTGAATTTATCTATAAAAAAAGTGCAAATATCTGAAGAAGTTCAGATGGAGATGAACTATGTTCCTTTCTATAAATCTAATCAATGAAATTAAACATGGTCAAACCATCAAAAAAAATTAAAATTATCTAAAGACTGCCACTGCAGACTGCCTTTCACACAATTTTCAGATTAAACATTTGAAGAACATTTTTCCTAATGCTGAACTACTGAATAACTAAGCATTCTTTTGAGTATAAGACATTTTAGTTTTGGCTTGAAGTATGTCACTGAAGGAAATAAACACACTTTATTAAAGAAAAGCTATATAGATGCACAGTACATTCCCTAAAGTAATCAGACAAATGTCACCAAGTTAAAACTCATTGCTTTAATATATTGCATTTTAAAGTTAAGTCAGAAATTGTCTCAAGCCTTTAGCAGTTGTTTCCTACTTTGAATCTTGAAATTCAAACTCTCTGTTATGAGGCAGAAACCAAGTCAGAAGTTTTAAAACTATTAAAAAATATTAAAAAAAGATTGCTGAACTGTGTCTCACCACCCATCCTTGCCTATTTGTAAACTGACTGATCAAAAGTCAACCTGACTTTGCCTGAATACAAACCCACCTGCCTTTACCAGCAGCCTCAGTGGCTTCTGCAGGGATTCTGTAATTGTACATATTCACTCTCATATTCACTCAGCTGCGGTGTTGGAGGTCAAAGGTGGGATTCATCTTAAATGCATCAATCTGAACACAGCAAAGGCTTCCACAAGTGAAGCAGGGATCTCAGCTGCTGGTCAGATCCAGGTAGAACACTCAACTGCCAAGATATCAAAATCCTGAACTGCCCCACTGTATCCTGCCTGGTTTCCAGCTGCTGCTCCAGGAGCACAGGGTGTCCTGCAGGTGCTACATCATATTTGCATTCCCTGTCTTGGAGTTGCCAAAGTGTCTCAAACAGCGTTAGATGTCTGCACGCAGTAAGGTGCCTCTAAGAAAGGTGGGGAAGAACTGTTCACAAGGGCAGGGAGCAATAGGACGAGGGGTGATGGTTTTAAACTAGACAAGGGCAGATTTAGGTTGGATATTAGGAAAAAGTTCTTCAATATGAGGGTTGGTGGATCATTGGAACAGGTTGTCCAGAGAGGTAGAGGAGGCCCCATCCCTGGAGATATTCAAGGTCAGGCTTGATGGGGCTCTGAGCAACCTGCTCTAGTGGAAGGTGTCCCTGCTCATGGCAGGGGGTTGGACTAGATGACCTCTGAAGCTCCCTTCCAACCCAAACCCTTCTATGATTCACTACAGACACTACAGGATATCCAAGAAATCTGCATGGGGCAGGCAGGTAAGACATAAGACCTTCAGAACATCCACACTCTTCTCTCCCAGCAGCTGAAGGCCAGGGAAGACACCCAAGGGCCTTAAAAATGGCTTTAGATTCCTACAGGCAGCTGAGGTAAAACAATTATGTTTTGGCATCTTACTCTGCCTGAATTCCCACCAAACTAACTTTCACTTTACTGCAATTTTATAGAAAAAAAACCCCAAAAAACCAAAACAACCAAGAATTTTTGAAGAAATATGCATCTTTCAAAATACTTCTGTATTTGATGAAAGAGCTCGTAAATACTGTCAATTTTATTGTTCCATGGAAATTAGAATTTAGCATCTAACAACCTTAGGTTGTTTCAATGTGTAGGAAAAGACATCGTGTTTATGTCTTAAATCTAATTGAACAAGTAAGTCGAGTCTGCTAAGCATAAGGGAAAGAAGATGACTTCTGACTCAAATGCAGGAGAGAAAAGAAACTTTAGAGCCCTCAAATGATAGCTTCTTGACTGATGGGACATCATTAAGTTTTTATGTATATGGTTCAGATAAGCTTAAAAATGGAAAATTATGACAAGAAAACCAAAAGACAAGTCACAGAATAGTAAATAGTGAACCAATGTCTTGCAGAGAACTTATTAAACCACAAGGTTTTTTTACATATAGATTATTTTCCATATTAATGTGTGTGTATGTATATATAAAAAAATAGATATCCATTCAGATTTACTGTAAGGAAGCACAACATCTAAAATTTGGTTTGAAGGTAACAGAACACAAGTTTTTCTTATACTCACGATTTTATCTCTACAGAAAGTCAGAACAGTGGTAACTGTGAAAGATTTCCTCTTAGGTTCCTATTCATTTTCCATTTTTAGGGCATTCTTTAGGAAGAAACCTAAAAATGACTCTTATCTGAACTTCATTATATTGTACTGAAGATCTTTTTTCAGGCAAACAAAAAAAAAGAAAGATTCTTGAGGACAATTTACTCCTTTACTGAAGACAGTGAAGCGCCATTCATTCTTATCCCCCAAGAAAGATGGCAAAGAAAAAACAGGTTTTCTAGTTAAGTAACTACACTAAAATTTACTTTTGAAAACACCAGGGTTATTTCACAAAGTTGTTCTCAGCACAAGCTTCAAGTTAGAATCCAGATCTTTCTCAATACAAACTGTTAAAAACATTAACAGAAGGCAATTTTTAAAAGGGAGTTAAGAGGAGGAATAATCATATAAAAATTAGCAACTTGAAAAATATTAATACTGAACCTAGAATATAACTAGTTTAACCAGAAGACCCTGACACCACACCTGCATATTTATTGAGTAGAGAGTCATGTGCTTTCTAGGATTTAATAGAATATGGCTACATACTAAAATGGATTTTTTTTAAGGTAATGAAAGAAAAATCTGATTATCAGCACATAATTTTAGGTAGTCTTGGTACCAAAGTAGTTGGTATATACACAAGTAAACAGAACTATGCAGCAATAGAGAAGAAAAGCATGTCAGGAACAAACACTCCAAAATAATTAAAAAAAATAATAAATTAAAAAAAAAAAACAACCCAAAACCAAACCAATAAAACTCCCACTCATCCTCCTCCCAAAAAGAAACCCCCAGAACTAAAGCAGAAATCATTATATTTTAAAAAGCACACGCAAAACCACACAAACCACCTCTAGATCTCACTCCCTTTTGCACACAATGCTCAACATTGTAATTTGCAGATAATCTGTGAAGATTTGGTTGGTGCATACACAAAGCTGAAGAATCTGTTTTCTGGACACTAGGAATTTATTGCATAAGCCATATTTTATAGGGTAAAAAGCAATGAAAAAAGGAACATCCATGTAGTACCAGTTTCTAATTCAAATGAACACCACGAGCAAATTGCAATTTTTCTGTTATAGCTTCCACTGCAGGTACCCACTCAACCCTATTTCAAATAAGGCAGATTATTTATTTAGCAATAATTTAAATTACAGATAATTTAGCAATACCATCTTTCTCATGAACAGCGCTTCTCTGTTGAAGAAAAGCTCAACTGTCAGATCACATCTACTCACATGAAAAATTGGGAACCATTGGTATGTTTCCCTCGGTTTGCCATTGACAAAAGGAACGCTCTGTCATGTTTGAGAATAAAGTTTTCATCTGTTTGAAGAAAAAATATGTTTGTCAGATTTTTCCCTGACAAGGAAGGCAAATCTAATTTTTCTTAGTAACTTATGGATGCTATAAAGGAGATATTCTGCTGCTGCTGAAGAAACATGAACAGGGTTGAAAAAAAAAATAAAAATAACGTTTAAACCAGCTTTTCAAAAGTTACAGTAGAAACAGTTGGGAACAGAAAGTATTTTTTCTTAAAGAAACAGTTTCAGATACAGTGCAAACATTTTTTTAATGAAAAAAAAAATTAAAGTCATTATTAGCATCTTCAATAAGCATTAGATTCTCATAGACTTTGATTTAAACCCAGCATTTTCTGAATAAGAACAAGGTTGGCAGACTTACTGACATCCTAAAACAAAACTTGACATACACGATACTGATAATTACACAATATGCACCTCAGGTGGAAATATCTAAAGAAAAAGCCATTTTCCTGGTATGGCATGTGAAAAGATAGACACCTATCAATTCAAAACTGGAGGTCTCAAAATGTACAAGGGGAAAAATGGATATCTGAATGAGAAACTAAAGGACGTATTCTTCTTGCAATCTAAGTAGAAAATCAATTAAGACTGAGTGAAACGTGCATTTTATATTCCACTGAATTGAAAAGGACTTCTGGTTGTACAGCATAACATAAAACCAGATCTTCTGAAGTTCATTTTCCAAGCTAAAAATAAGAATTTGAGTGTAGAAAGCTGTTATTTTTAAGAGTTACATATCAAAACACAAAGCTGCACGTTTAGCACTCACAGCCTTTGGAAACAAACCCTGGTAACTTCTTAGCAAATGGAGCTATTCAAGACTTTTATTTTCTGACTAAAGGCTGTAATACTCTGACACCAAATTATATCTCTGTTTAAGACAAACTTAATGGCATGCACTTAACCACAGAGAGCTACCTGTAAAACATATAGAACCAGGAGCTGTTACATAAATACATATATTGCCTTTATTAACTCCTGAAAACCACAGTAACTACTTGGGGTTTGTGCAAGAAAGGATTGTATGTCTTTAAACAAATATTTTATAAACTCACCATTTTCCTTCCAACAACAGATTTTTAAAAGAGAGGTAAATGTACATTTATTTACAAAATTCTTTGCAAGTAAAATAACTCGTCTAGCATATAAACAGAATTAAATGCTTTTAGAAAGGAACACTAAGCATACAAACCTTGAACGGGGAAGGGGAGGAAAGGGACATTAATAAAAAGAAGAAATAACTGTTTAGAGCTGGAAATTATATCAGTATTCTTTCTCAGAATAAGTCATTAACCCTCAGAAAGGTTAGACACAGAAATCTTCATTTCTCCAAGCAACACAGATATCCATCTACAAACGGATGTATCAGTTGTCTATATATTTACTAGGGAGGGTACAAGGGAACAGAGTTTGAATTTGTGTTACTGAGCTTTTGTCTCTTACCTTTTCATTTTGCAAAAGACCACATTCTCTATAAACAAAAGAATATGTTGACAGTTTTAGGCAGGAAGATAGGAGTTTATTCATGAATAAAGTTGCCTAACCTCCATGCTGAAAGTCATGTTTAACCAATAATGTTAGCCTTAATTAATTGTCAGTTAAAGTTAAATATTACCCAAAAAAATTATCTGAAAGTCATGCATATAAAAATAATTCTCATGCAACATTAGTTTCATGCAAAAGGTGATCTATAAGTAGACCTGTTTTCATTAAGTAGCTTGGGAATCAAAACTTGTTTATCTCAGAACTGAATAAAGAATCTGCAAAGATATATTTCCTCTTACCTTTAAAATAGCCACCATAAATAGATTCACCTCCTTTTCCATTACCTAAGCATTAAAAAAAAACATTAATTAAACCTTCTGTTTCATTTATGGAAAAGCTTTATGTAACATTCCACCAGTTTATAACAAACCAGGGTACTCTGACCAGTTACTGCTATCTGAGGATAAGCTCCTCAATTAAAAGTCACAGCCGTGCATTATCCTGTTGACACTCCCAAATATTAAAGAAGGAAGATTGCCTTGGTGCCTCTGAACATTGACAAGTCTGAAGCAAGGCTCCAAAGACAAATCCTCACTGATATTTGCTAAAGTAACAGCAGAAAGCAAAACAAGAGCATGCTGAAAAAAATTAAATTAAATTAAATTTAAAAAAAGACAACAGTAGGTATGACCAACAATCTTGCCTGGCTCAACAGAGCTGAGACACCACTAGAATGGATCAGATTAAAAAAAACCAGTGAGCAGTTTTAAAGGCATCCTTATTTCTACTTGACCCTCAAAGCAAGATACTCCCTCACCATGCTCATTTTATCAGGAACAGAGTGAAGAACATTTTGGTAAGGACAGGTATTTCAGGGAAGGACAACAGGTTAAAACATTATATTGCACAAATACTGCAGGGAAGGAAACAAACTCTTGGAAAATCTCCTTTTGGAGACTCATCTGTTAAACAATTCTAGCTCATTTACTAAAAATCATTTTAAAAAGTAAACTTATTCAAATAGGTAGGTCCCTGTATCGATACAGCATTAATAGCATTGCTGCTTTTCACTTTTGTGTCTGCAGGAGAAGCAAGACTACATTTTGGATTGGAATTCTGTTTTAATAAGACAGATGTTAACTCCAGCAAGGTTGTTCTTTTTCCTTAATACATTTTCTAAATCAACATTACTTCAATTGAAATCAGTATTTCTTCAATTTTAGAATTTCAAAGATTAACAAAGGAATGGGTGATCTGTGCTATACCTGACAGCAAATGAAATATTTTTATGGCATTATAATTCTTCCACGGCATTTTCTAAAGTTACATTATAACCATGTCAGTTAAAACATTTCTGTTCCACTTCAAACATTCCAGTTTTAAAAGCCTATTTTACCTTCGCTGAAGTCCCCACCCTGAATCATGAAGTTTTTAACCACACGATGGAACGTAGTGCCTTTGTAACACAGCTTCTTTCCAGTTGTTTTGCCAATTCCTTTTTCACCTGCGAAAAGGTGAAACAAAACAGATTGTCACTGACCAAATTCCAAGGGTTTTACCTCCCTGGTGATAATGGATATGAGAGAGCCATGGGAATAACACAACTATAAAAGATAACACAGTCCTACCTGCTGCCTTTTCACCACCCATTAATAGCAGAAGGGATCCATTCCTCAAGTGAAAATTAAGATTTCTTCCTAAAATAATCTCCTATAAATAATCTTCTAAATAATCTCCTAAATAATCTTCCTAAATAATAAAATTAAGATTTCTTCCTAAAATAATCTCCTCCTCTCCCAAGGAGGAGTGTACTTATCAGCAATCATAGAATCATAGAATGGTTTGGGTTGGAAGGGACCTTAAAGATCATCCAGTTCCAACCCCCCTGCCATCAGCAGGGACACCTTCCACTAGACCAGGTTGCTCAAAGCCTCATCCAACCTGGCCTTGAACACTTCCAGGGAGGAGCAGCCACAGCTTCCTCGGGCAACCTGTTCCAGTATCAGTTGATACCTGTTCCAGTATCCACTCAGTTGATAAGAAAACAAGAATTTGTGATATTGACGGGTTAACTATTTTCTGTGGTTACAGCTGCACTGTTATACCAGTGTCCTTTGCAAATGATCCATTTGGATGTGCCAGATAAACTCCAGGACAGATAATCTGAGCTCAGAACAGGCTTCAACTCAATTTCAAAGTGATCCACTCTTGGAAAAGTGGGATTGAGCTACTCCAAGCACGTGTCACATCTTCACTGATCCACATACAGTGTCAGGCCACCCCTTAACGCCAGCACCAACCCTCACCCTCTCAGCATGAAACCTGCACAGAAGAAATTCCCATTTCCTAAAAAGACTGACAGAACAGGGGAACAAAATTGTGTGTACAAGAACCATCCCAGGACAAATGGAGTGAGAATCATAATGGGAAAAAAAAAAAAATTTAAAAATCCCCCCAAATCCCCCAAACTCTGAACTGGTACCCAGCAGCAGAAGCCAAGCCAGGCCACGGTTCTTAATCCTTCCTGAGACAGAGATTTCCTAAAAGGTGGCACTCAGTGGACTTCCAGTGCAGCTGTAGTGGTGATTTTTGAGAAAGACATCCCAAAACCTCAAGCTTTATTAAGATTTCTTCCAAATTCTGAATTAAAACTGGACTGGGCATGTGGATGAGGATGCTACGACTGGCAGGGCAGAGGTCCTACATAGTAGGTTCAGGAAGGATTTATACTGGTCCAGTCAGGGAACATACAAGTGAGACTGACTTTAGCTTCCAAGAAGAGGGAAGCTGGCAGAACACAGCTATTAATAGTAAGTGTTTTATAGCCAGATGTAAATCACGTGTGCAGGAGATATTCTGTAAGGAGACAAAACAAATAACCCAACATCCAGCTTCATCCCACCACTGGTGATGGAACAGGGACTGGGTCAGAGGACATTTAACCAGTATGTTCTGTACCATGTAGTGCCCTCAGATGTGTACTTGTTACTCCTCTCTTTGGCCATCTATTGTTCCTCCACTCAAAATTAACTGATGGTCAAATCATCCGCTATTTGCCATTCCAAACAGTTTATCGCTGACAGGATGAGGGTAAAGAGCAGTTTGTGGCAAAAAAAACAACAAAACCCAAACCAACCACTCGTGGCATTGCTGATTATTGTACTTGTAGAAGTCTTCACTCACAGAATACAACTCATTTTCCACTACTCTGACTCTCCATGCTTCTCTCCAACCTCATTTTTATTTTCCACAGAAGTTATCTAAGGAAAGCCATTTCCTACAGGGATGGACACACTCTCTTTCCTCCCCAAACATGCTGCTCTTTGCTACAGTGTTGGAAACCCCACTTCAATCAATGCCAAGGAGAACCTGCCTACATTTTTGGTCGTGTTTCAACATGTCCCTCAGGCTGTGGATAATCCCCTTACAAAATGGGATCCTGCATTGCACTTGACCAGGTAATTGAGCTGGTAAATTAAGGTGAGAGGTGAATTTTAGACCATGTCAAGAAGCTGTAGTTCCTTTTTTCACTCTCTTTTATGGTATTGCCAAGACAGCACAGTCTCTATCATAATAATGGCAATAATTGTGATGTTCCCTTCCTTTCATGCACAATAAAATGATGGGCAAAATCATCTAACTCAGCTACTTCACCAATAAGCCACAGACACTTTAGACAATGCACTGGAAAAAGGGTGGAGGGCCAAGTTCCTGCAAAAGCTGTGCTACATCACTCTGATTTCCAAAGCCAAACCTTGGACTCCCAGTCAGGCAAAAAATAAGAGACCAGTTGTTCCACTGGTCAGAGCTGCAGCACCTCCTTAAGCTCAGACACTTTTCTGCAACAGCCAGTACAAAGTTCATGGGTTGGGCTTCTTTCTTCTTTATGGTCTAATATTAACCTTGTTCTCTTTGCCCTAAAGATGCCTGAATTTTATATGAAAAAGGAAAAAAAATACTCTTTTGAAATCCCACCTATTTGCACTCTTCCTGCCCAAGCAGTTCTTTCCATAAACTGGGTATGGCTTGGAAATGGGATGGGGGAGGAGATTTTACACAGTGATTGCAAAGGATAAGCCATTAGCTGAGGAGGGCTCAACACAAAGGCCTTTATCACAGAATCCCAGAAATGCCAGGATTAGAAAAGACCTTTAAGATCATCGAGTCCAACCATGAACCCAACACTGACAAGTCCCCGACTAACCCATGGCCCTCAGCACTATGCCTACACGCCTCTTCAATCCCTCCACGGATGGGGAGTCCACCACTGCCCTGGCCAACCCCTTCCAATGCCTCAGAACCCTTGCAGCAAAGAAATTCTTCCTTACATCCCATCTCAACTGCCCTGGCCACAACTTGAGGCCATTTCCTCTTGTCCTGTCCCTTGGTCCTTGGTTGAACAGA